GTATACTTTCTTCTATGTGGATTAATGCTCAATGTTTACTCCCTCCCGTCTTTTTTAATCTGTTTTATGTATTGGGGTGACAAGGTTTTATGGAGAGGGGAAAAGAGTCTTGTTCCTAAAATCTGCTTATAAATCCTAGAGCAACCCAGGGTAGGAGGGAGGAAGTGGGGGTGGTGGGGCCCGGGTGAGCCACACAGTGAGGGGAGGTGATGGCTGGGGTGTGACTCAGTGGTAGAGCACCTGCCTAGAGTCCCCGAGCGAGGGGCTGGGACTACAAATCAGCAACTTCTCACCTGGGCCACAAGGCAACTAACTCAAAGCAGACTGGTAGCCCGGCAACTTTGTTTTAATTTTTCATTTGTCTCCTTGACTTTGAGTCATCTGCTACCTCTACACACAGCTATGTTTACCACTCAAGGGGCATCTGTCAAACAACCAGTGACACCTGACCTGGCTCATCCCCTCTTCCATACTAAAGGCACAGAAATAAGAGTAAAAGAGGCATCTTACTGTCAGCTTCTACATTGTCCTGTTCCAGAACACACACCGTCCCCCAACTCCCCCGTCCCCAATGCTCCTAAAGGTCTTTAGTCATTGTTCTAAACCTGTAGTCACCAGGCTGGAGAAATGGCTCAGGGTTAAGAGTCCTTGATGCTCTTATAGAAAACCAGAGTTCACTTCCCAGCACCCATGTCACATCCCTCTGTAAGTCCAGCTCCAGGGGATCTGTCACCCTCTTTTGGTCTCCACAGGCACTGTATTTATGTGCGTGGGCACGCGTGCACACACACACACACAAAATTAAAAAGAAAAAAAAAAAAGAAGTAAACTGAGCATGGTGGCACACATCTTTAATTCCAGCATTTATAGGCAGAGGTAGGTGGATTTCTGTGAGTTTGAGTCTAGCTTGGTCTACATAATGAGTTCCAGACCAGCCAAGGATACATAGTGAGACTTTGCCTCCAAAAACATTTTTTTAATGTCCAGTTGTATTGAATTCCAAAACCCCTGCCCCAGTCCATGTGGACAGTTGTCTACAAAAAGGGGACTGCACCCTGGGGCAGGCACAGTCTTCTGCTGAGAGCTGGCCTATCCCCTCAGGCAATAAGGACTTCTTTGGACCACCTTGCAGACCCAGAGCTGAGACCGTGATCATCTGGACTCCATCCTGGCCAGGACTGTTTAATTATGCATATATGCATAGCTCTTGGTCCAGTCCTAATCCTTCCTGGGGTGGGGGTGGGCAGGTTACAAGACCTCATTGATCACTCCCTGTGTTTCACTATTACACAGCTTCTTTTTTATTTGTGTGTGTGTGTGTGTGTGTGTGTGTGTGTGTGTGTGCCTGTGTCTGTGTCTGTGTCTGTGTGGTGTGTGCACACACCTCTATATGCACTTGCAGAGGCAAGACATCAAGTGTCCTGTTCCACCTTATTTCCTTGAGGCAGGGTCTCTCACTCAACCTACAGTTAGGCTGGCAGCCAGCAAACCCCAGTGATCCTCCTGCCTCTAGCCCCCACAGCGCTGGGGTTACATATGTGCATGCAGAGGTCAGAAGGTAACCCACAGGAGTCAGTTCTCTCCTGCTACATGTGGGTTCCAGTGACTGAACTCAGGTCGTCGCGCTTGGCAGCAAGCACCTTTACCTGCTGAACCATCTCCTCAGCACCACTCCTGGCGGGTTTTTTTTTTTTTTTTTAGAGTGCTAATGATTTGAACTCAGGTCCTCATGCTTGCACAGTGAGTGCTCTTACTGAGCCACCTCGCTGGACTTTGGTTTTTGGGTTTTGAGGAGCTTTTTGTTTGCTTTTGTTAGATAAAAAGGTGGCAGGGGTCAGGATCACTACGAAACAGAAACAAAGAGGACTCTGGTAAAGTGAGAGTTTAGGCGGGCCTGGTCCTCAACCCAGGTGTGAGGAAGAACCAGCAGTCTAATGGCTGCAGAGGGGTAGCTTATAAAGGGAAAGAATGAGGAAAAAGAGACCATTTTTCTGCTGTTTGGGGCGGTTTTGGGGGCTGCTTGCTCAATGGAGGGCGTGGGGTCTGTACCTGGTAAAGCATATTGGGGAAAACAGCTACTGTAAAACATGTTTTTCTACAATTACAGAGTTCCAGGAATTAACTACAGCTAAGGGCTTGGGAAACCTGTTGTCAGCCCAGCCCATGGGGGCACGCTCTGGTGATCACAATACATTGGTCATTAACTTCCCGGACTGCTTTTGTTAACTCACAGGTGGCTGGGAGTTGGTTGACTCAGCTTCTCTAAGGAGCCTCATGATTTCAGGGTCTGGTGTTGCCTAGATCTGAGCCCTATCAGCTTTTAGGTTTTTTTTTTTTTTGTTTTTTTTTTTTTTTTTTTGAGACAGTTGCTTAGGTATCACAGTCTGCCCTTTAACTTTAAAATGTTTTTAAATTTATTTTTATTTTATGTATATGAATGTTTTGCCTGCATGAAAATGCACCATATGCATGTGATGCCCATGGAGGCTAGGAGAGGGCATTGGAGCCCCTGGAATTGGAATTACAGATTCCAGTTGTGAGCTGCCATATGGATCTGAGAACCCTACCCAGGTGTTCTGCTAGAGCAGCCAGTACTCTTAACTGCTGAGCCATCTCTATCCCTGGCCTGGAACTTTTGATCCCAGCCTCCACTCTGGAGTACTGAGGTTATAGGTGTACACTACAGTACCCAGTTTATTTCTCTCTTTAATTGGCATACCAGGGCAGGTAACCTAGCTTAGCCTGTTTGGGCTCTCTAGAGCTAGGGCTTTGTCCTAAAACTCAGTTACGCTAGGACCACACATGCTCCCCTCTCCAACGCCTCTCCTGGATGGAGCAGCACCAAAGTTTCCAAAGACCCACAGCCTCTGCCAGGCTGTTAGGAGTGCAGTCTCTCAGCCTCCCAGCAGCCTGTGTCCATAGCCCTGCATCCCACATGGGAGCTATCTTATTACCACAATACCTCCCAAGTCTTAGGGCATCTGTTTCTCCAGAAGGTTCCTGTGGGTCCAGACTTTGAAATGGGTGAAGGAAAGAGAGGAATTGAAACATCCTTTGACTTCTAAAGCAATAAAAGCTCTCTAGAGCAGCTTTGAAGCATCTATTTCCACATTAAAGAGCTCTGGTCTGGGGAGACAGACATAAACACAATTAAAACCCAGGAGACCGACTGTGAGGGCCTGGGGGGAACACCATGACTGGTGGGGTTTTTTTGTGTGTGTGTGGGGGGGGTGGGGTAGATGCATGTGTGTGTGTGCACCATGACTGGTGGTTTTGTGTGTGTATGTGTTAGATGTGTGTGTGCATGTGTGTGTGTGGGGGGGGTGTACCATGACAGGTGAGTTTTTTTGTTTGTATATGTGGGATATGTGTGTGTGTACACTTGTGTGTACCTGTGTACATGTGTGGACACACCTGCAAGAGACTGGAGGTGTTTTGCTCTCTTAATCTACTTACATAAATGCACCATGTGTATGCAATACCCATGGAGGCTAGGAAAGGGCATCAGATCCCCTAGAACGAGAGCTATCTCATTACCACTGAGACCAGGTCTCTCACCGAACCAGGTACTCGATGTTTTCCCACTAGGCTTGCTGGCCAGAAAACCCCAGCAATCCTCTTGTCTCTGATGTGCTGATTCCCCATCTGGGCTTACAAAATTTGGGTGTGTATGGTCACACCCAAATTTTTACAGCAGCACTAGGGATCCAAACTCAGGGCCTCATGTTTGTACAGCAAGGACTTTTATCCACTAAGCCACCTCCCCAGACCACAGCAATTAAATTAAACACCTCATTTTGCATTGTATTATAATGTTTCATATTAAATTATTATTTGTGTGCCTGTGTGAGTGTGTGCATGAATGTGTTTCTGTGCACATATGCATATGGGGGTGGTGCATGCACATGTGCATGTGAAGGTCAGATGTTGTTCCTTGGGTACCGTCCACCATTTTTTTTTTCAGACAGGGTCTCACTTGTAGCCCTGGCTGGCCTGGAATTGGCTATATAGACCAGATTGGCCTCGAACTCACAGAGATCTGCCAGTCTCTGCCTTCGAAGTGCTGGAATTAAAGATGTGCGCCACCATGCTCAGCCTTCCACATTGTCTTTTAAGACAGGGCCTCTCACTGGCCTGGAGCTTGCCAAATAGGCTAGGCTGGCTGGCTGGTACACCCAGGGATCTTCCGCCTTCACCTTCCCAACTCTGGGATTACAAACCCATGCCACCATGTCTGGCATTTTACACGGGCTCTGGGGATCAAACTCAGATCCTCATGCTTGGGAGGCAAACACTCTACTTGATTGAACTATCTCCCTAGCCATATGTATCTCCTAATCTGGTCTATAACTTGCTATGTAGGCTAGTCTAGAACTCTTGGTGATCCTCCTGCCTCAGCTTCCCAAGTGCCAGCTTAGAGGGAGTTGTGGTTATTTGTTGGTTGGTTTTAGACAGGGTCTTATGTATCCCCAGCAGGCCTTGAATTCAATATGTAGCTATGGGTGACCCTGAACTTCTGATCTTCTGGCCTCCACTTCTGGTGCTAGCATCATAGGCATGCACCATTATGCCCAGTTTATGTGGTGCTGGGGATGGAATCCAGGGTTGCAAGCACACTTAGCAGGCACTCCACCAACTGAGCTTCTAGAGGTGTGACTACTGACCACACTGCCAGCCCCTAGCAGTCCCCAGGTGTGCTGGCTGAAGATGTCCCTCCCTGCTTGGCTCTTGCCCCCTCCAGGCTTCAGCATGAACCAACCACCATGCAGCCCTTAAGACTTCTCATTAGATGTTCCCACTTCCAGAATGCCTTCCTTGATTGTCCCCAAAGAGCGGACAATGAGGAGGGTGGGCCTCAAGGAAAAGGCTCTGAAATACAGATAAGAGTTTTGCAGGCAAAATCATTAGAGATATCCCTCCCCAACTGTCATTAATATTGTCTCTCCTGTGGGGGGGGGGGTCTTTGCTGTACCCTCACCTCAGTTTTCCTTCTTTTGTAGAGTGCATGAATTGTTCCAGGCTCAGCGACATGAGTGAGCGGCTGACCACGCTGGAAGCCAAGGTCAGACCAGGGGGTGGCTGGGCCTGGGGCGCTGGCTGGGGTGAAGATGGGGACATCAGACCTTTGCTGGATGTGGCTAGAGAAAGTTGGGTTCCAAGGAGCACCTCCTAGCCTAAGCAGCTGGTCATATGCACTGAGTTCTGGAGAGGTCCTGGTGACTCTTGGTGACCTTGGGTTGGGCCAGCCTCCTGGGATAAAAAGGGAGAAAGATTAAGAAACCTCAATTTCCATAGTAGTGGCTGATCTGAGTTCCCAGGCCTTAGGGCATTCTTGGAGGCTAGATGAGGTGAAGCCAGTCTCTAGTAAGAGGAGGGAGTTGTTGTCCTTCCCAAGCTGCTCGCCCAGTAGGGTCTTACTAGTCTCTACTAAGCACCTGGTTGGGACTGGGCACAGGGATGGGAAAAGATTTGGTGAGCTGACAGCTTTCAGCCAGGCATCCTGGGAGGAGCAAGTCCTCTGTGGAGGACTCCCAGGGACAAGACTTGTTAGAGTGTCTGTTGGCTCCCTTTGCAGGGACAGAGCAAGGGAAGTTGTTCACAGGATATGTGTGTTAATATTAAGAGAACCCTGAGGCTGCACCTCATTGTTCCTCTAGGGGGTGCTGTATCGCACATGTCTCAACTTGTCTATCTGCCTTGTAACTAGTTACCTGCAGGACCCCTGGTGCTCCACCTCGTGGTTCCTCTGGGAGGTGAGACAGAGCACACTATGCTCCAGCCTGCCTAACTCAAAGCTTCCAAGCCCAGTAGCCACTTTTGTTCCCGACTGGATTAGGTTTCTCTCAGGTCATTCCCTATCTCCCCATTGCCAGTCAGGATCAAAGGTGCATAGAACATCTGTCCCCAAAGTCTGCTCCCTCCACACTCACAGGCCTGGAAAGCAGGTGCTTGGTCTATGAGCTACAGGGACCTGGGAGGGGGGCCCTACTGAGGTCACAGAGCCTTTCGGGGCAGTGGGAACTGTTGAGGTGGCCTGGACCCCTAGACAGAGCCAGCAGGGTTAGAGGCCAGACTCACTTGAGCCCCAGAGAGAGGGAGGGCTCTCTCTGAGGAGGATGGAGGGGGAGCACCACCCAGAAGAGAGTGTGGGTGCCTGAAGCCAGCTCTAAGTCTCCAAGTTCATTGTTTGTCTAGGAGTCAAAATACACTTGGTGTGGACTGTGAAGATGGTTCAGTTGGTGAAACACTTGCTTTGTATGCACGAGGACCTGAGTTCAATCCCCAGAAGTCCTATATAACAGCCAAGTACATTGGCTTGTGCTTGTAATCTCAGCACTGGGGAAGTAGAGACCAGTGTCTCCCCAGGGCTGTTATATCCATCCTTTAGGTTGTTATCCTCAAGGTCTACCCTCCTCCTTGCAACTCAGCCAGCCAGACCTCAGCCAGACCTCAGCCAGCCTGGATAGGGGACATCACAGGCAGTGAGAGTGGAAGAGGAGGTGTTCACTGAATGCCAGTTCACACTGAGGTGACTCGGGAAGCCCGAGTCCAAACGAAGAATCCAGGGCTCAAGCTGGGTATGGTGGCACACGTCTGTCATCCCAGAACTTAGGAGGCTGAGGCAAGAGGATTTTGAGTCTGAGGCTAGATACGTAGCAAGACTCTGTCTCAAAATCAAAAGCAGAGGGAGGAGAGCTGACAAGATGGCTCAGTAGGAAAGGGTGCTTGCTGTTAAGCCTTGCGACCTGAGTTTGATTCCCCAGGACCTACATGGTGGAATGAAAGAATTGACTCCTGCAAGTTGTCTCTTGACCACAGGTACACACACACACACACACACACACACACACACACACACAAATGTAATAACCTTTTTAAAAAGGACGGGTGTGTGCGAAATGCCATACACAGCTTCAAGGCCCCAGCACATGCACAGCCTCTTATCATCAAACCCCTCTACCATCAGACAGGGTCTCCCAGCCCAGACCCTGGACAGAGGGCTAAGAGAGACCCTCTGTTCCCCTTGGGGTCAGTATCTCTCACGAGGGGAGGGGTGTGGATGGGTGATAGTCTTGGCCAGAAAGGGCCAGATCAAATTGGGAAAATAGCCAGGGGGTGGGGGTTGCTGAGGGAGAGGCTGGAATGAACGTCTGTCCCCTGAGGTTTTAGAACAGGTGGGACCAATCTGACAGACATTTTCCAAAGCCTTGGTAGGGTCTGGCACAGAGGAAAAAGGGACAGCTTGACTAGGCTCTAGTCCAGCTTTCTAGGTGTTAAAAGTCACAGTTTTGGGGGGTCCAGCTGTGCTCCTCACACCTGGACCTCAAGCAAACCCTCCCACCAGAGTAATTTGCCCCTCATTCCCCCCCACTCTCAATACCCCCTGCCATGAGGCTCTTAGTAGATTGAGCAGCAACTGCCAAAGGCAGTTCCAGGGGATCCGACGCGCTCTTCTGGCCTCCATGAGCATTGCACACATGTGGTGCACTACATACATGCAAACAAACACTCATACACATAAAATAAAAATAAATTTAAAAAAATTAAAGTGCCAGCTTCAAAGTGGAGTGGGAACTCAGGCAACTCTCCAGAGGGCCTAGGGAGGTAGCTTCAGTCTGGGAGTGAGGAGCTTACCCAGAGAGCAGGGCCCATCTCAGCAGTCCAGGTACCTTAAGACAGTTTCCTGAGTGCCCAGGAAGGGACTGAGGACTCCTGCCTCATCTCCCATGTCACTTTCCAGGTATCTGCCTATGCCCACATTGCACCCTAGAGAGACAGGCTTAGTGGGAGCCTTGGGTGCCCCAGGTCTCAGGGTCCTGAGGAAGCAGTAGCTGGGAGGGGCTGATTGCCAGCTCAACCCAGTAACACCAGGGGCTGTGCCCAAGCCAGATGTACTTGCTGGAGGGTGAGAGAAGGGAGCTGGAAGAGGGTGAGAGAAGGGAGCTGGCCTCAGGTCAGAGGCCAGGGGTCAGGTGGGGGAAGATAGTCAGCACAGCAATCAGGCAAGACAAGCCCAGTCAGAGTCAGAAATGGGGCAGCTTAGGTGGGCCTTGTCATTCCAGCTACTTGGGAGGCTGAGGCAGAAGGATCAAAAGCTCAAAGCCTTGCTGGGTATAATGACACACACCTTTAGTTCCAGCACTCAAGAGACAGAGGCAGGCAGATCTCTATGAGTTTGAGGCCATCCTGGTCTACAGAGCAAGTTCCAGGCCAGCTGGTACTATATAGTGAGATCCTTTCTCAAAAAACCAAAATAAACAAAACAAAACAAACTGAGAAAAGTTCAAGACTTGCCTGGGCTACAGAGTGAGTTCAAGGCCAGCCTGGACAACTTAGGGAGACCATGTCTCAAAATAAAAATGTAAAAAGAAGGCTGGAAGTATATAGCCCAGTGGTAGAGCACCTTCCTAGAACCCCCCAGTGAGGGGCTGGGGTGTGGCTCAGTGGTAGAGCACCTGCCTAGAATCCCCCAGTGAGGAACTGGGGTGTGGCTCAGTGGTAGAGCACCTGCCTAGAATCCCCCAGTGAAGA